TACAAGCTTATTGAACTTTACTGAGTGGTTATTAATGTATGATCTGTTAAAAATATGCACAATAGTACCTCCTGTAAGGAATATCTCTGAGTAAGGGACAATTCTGTTGGTTTGGGTCCTTTTTTAATAGGGACCTCTTATTAAGGGACACTGAAAAAAATTTCAAATATAAAAAAAAAGAAATAAGTAAAAATAGAAATACGTTGTTAGTAAGCTTTTGAGGTTTCAAAGGCAAATTTGTGCTCAGTGATGGATAATCTTGTGACAAAAGAAAAGACTGGTCTTAACTTTGGTAAGTGAAAAGTTAATCCCTCTCTTTTGAAAACTGCTTTTCATTAGGGTACACAAAAACAATACAAAAGCAAATTGTACTGGAATCAAAAGGATATTTCACATTCATAGAATTCGAAATCCAGTTATTCTTGCAATGGTTCTTAATAGGGGAAAAATGGTGTTAATAAATTGTAAGGCTATCCAAAACAAGGACCAAAAGGTATGAAAAGGTAGTGATATGACTAGATTACCTGGCAAGGCAAAGGGATCTCACAATGTGGTAGAGTGAAAACTTCTAAGTTCTTACTAGGACAAGGGAACAAAAAAAAAGTAATTTTTTACTTGTGAATTATCTATGTTATGTATTATCTAGCATGGCTTCAAAGAGTAAAATATTAGCATTAAAACAAACAGTCGATATAATTCATGTAGCAGAATTTGAAAAGCTTAAAGTTTGAGAGATTTAGAGCAGAAATCTGGAATAAATAAAAATCAAGTAAGTGGTGTGCTAAAGGATAGCGAGATATAAAAATATTATGAATTACTAATTCAAATGAACATTTCAAGACCATAAAATTTTAAAAACTGAAACATACAAAATTAATACAGCAGTGATTAACCCCTTAACTGCCGCGGGCGTATATATATGCCTTGCTCAGCCGATGTGTTAACTGACGCCCCGGGGATATATACGCCCTTCCAAAAACTATTCAGTGCTTTGCGGTGCTACCGTAAAATTATTCGAAACTTTGGAATGCAACACCAGAATGACTTGACGAGTATGTGAAGGAGGATATTATTCATAGAAGTGTGGGGAGAATGGAGGAGGGATTGTCTAAGTGTGAAAGTGATGACTGCAGGTATGGCTAGTGTTGTTTTGAGTAAAAGTATTTTTTTTTTTATGTGTCCTCCGTTTTCGTTTACTTTGGAGTAGGTTCCAGGAATAAAAATATATAAGGATGTTTCAAATCCATTTATCTTTCTTGAATTATTTTTTGAGGAACTGTCGTGCTTTTATTTTACTGAAACTACCGTTTGTGACGAGTATATACAACAACACTTGCAAACAAAATCAAGAACATATCGTGGCATTCAACCAATTCAGAGAATATATGTTTTTGAGGCATACGCTTTCACAAGATTAACCTGAAAATGATATTAACTTACTGTCTAAAATGAATTAATCGAAACCCATTAACGCCTTTTTTATATAAAACATCCTTTTTATTATACTAATCTTATATATTTTACTTAAAATATTAAATTTTGTGCATTCATTTTTTTTTTTTATGTTTTTTGTGAAGTCAACAATTTTTAGAAAGTAAAAATTGCTTTACTTTCCCCTAATAATCGCTAACTACGCGGATCGTAAAAACGTGGCACTGGGGAATGAATCTTGTACGTTTTCCGCGGCAGTTAAGGGGTTAACTGGTTTCATTCTGTAGCAGCAAGCATTATTTCTACACGTACAAACATGTGAAAAGCAAAATGAAATGCAGAAATTTAGGGAAGTCGTGGGTTTACAGAATTTCAAAGCATTAAATGGTTGGTTACACAAATTTAAGCAATGACATAATAATATTTGTGAAGAAAAATCAGTAGGTATACAACCTGTAACAGGCTGGACAAAAAAGCTAAACGAAAGTTGAGAAGGATATGAAGAAAAAACATCTATAATGCAGATGAAACTGGAATATCTTATCAAATTTGCCCTATAAAACTATGCTACGAAGAAGAAAAAGTACTCTGGTTATAAAAGCTCTAAGGAAATGTCTCACTGAACTATTTTGTTGTAACACAGAAAAAGAGTTTCAGCGACTGCTTGTAACTGGAAAAGCCAAAAATTCAAGATGCTTCAAAAACATCGATATAAAATCTTTATATCGGTTCATTGGCATCACAATAAAAAAAATCATGAATGACGCAAAGCATAATGTTAGAATGGTTGATTGCTCTTGAGAAAACAATATTTAAAAAATATGAAGATTATGTTATTTCTTGACAATTCGCCAGTCTACCCACCAAATAGAAAACAAAAATCAGTGAAATTAATGTTTTTTCCACCTCATGCAACATCAGTATTACATTTTTCAGACCAAAGTATAATTAGAAGCTTCATTACAGAAAACTGTTTTTAAGACATCTTCTTTATCAAGCTGCTTGCAGATGTGTCAATGTATTGAATGCCATTCAGTGGATAACAAAAGCTGTTATATCCACAGCAAAATGTTGTGTACAGCACTGTTTACACAGCCTTTAAAATTCCAGTTTTGAGTGCCCTCATAGAAAATGAATTATTTGAACTTGTCAAAATCAGTGGTAATGTTCAAATGCAAGAATATTTAGAAGTCCGGGATAACTTGTATACTGAACACACCAATGATAGCATAAAACTTTTCATTTCAGCTGTAACTAATAATGTTAGTTTCAACAAAACTAACTTGGAAAGCAGTGAGGAAGACAGAGCCAGTCGAAAAGTGTGACATTGAAAACTGCATAGATGCCTTAAAATATGTCTCCCATTTGAAAACATCCACGATAACTGTTGGTGATAATGAAAGTGACTTTAACATTCACGTGGTAAAAATGCTTACAACAAACAGACTTTCAGACAAACCAATAAATTTCTGCAATTGCAAAACTCTATTGTTCATTTCAGACATTTTTGAAGTAATCAAACTTTTTTAATAAGGGATTTTAATTTTTCTCTAACTCCAAATAAATATTTAAGTTATTTATTTATATATCACTTAGTTAAAGCCTGATACAACCTGAATTTCTAATTAAATTACCTTATTTTTAGTATGCACTCTCTGAAGAAAGGAAAGCTCTATTTAAGAGACAAAATGTCTGGTCCAGTGAGCGTCCTTATTGGGAGGAACTATTGTATTTAAATGACGCCATGGTAACTGATTTAATTTGTGAATTAGGTAATTGATAATTTAAATTCCTAAAACTACAAGATACACATTGTAAAAATTGACTATAAAGACAGTTAAATACCACCTTCAAGTTTTGAACATCAAAACATAGTTAGAAATTTCAAAAGAAATAATATAAAAATGAAATAATATTAAAACTGTACAGTTTTAACTAGTAAACAATAAAAATATTACCTAATATAGAAAGCAAAAGATATTAAAACATTTATTAGTTTAAAAAAAACTGAAATACTTTGTAATATTTAAATAATTAAATTAGCATATGCTAATAACTTTTTAAAAAATGATCACTTCTGTGAATCAACAAGTTCAAAATCCAAATTTTAAATTTGGTAATTCACTATGTTTAAAAGTAATTTCCATGTAGAAATCCTAAACATCAGATATAATAAATATGCAAAGTATGACAATAAAGTTCAATGAATGTCTTCATGAGATACATATGAACTGTTACTAGGTGCATTATGAAGAGTGAAAACGATAGTCCATAATCTATTTGAACACATTTGAGTGCAAAGTAGGAACAGTCATTACAGATTTCTGTTAGAAACAGTACAGCTTGCAAAGCAGTGTCTGTAAAACGGAGCAATGAGCAAATTTAAAGTTCTGTTTCGAGCTTGATAAATCTGTGGAAGGAAGTCATGAACATGTTGAAAAAAATTAAAGGAGATGAAGCAATAACGCTGCTCAAAGTAGCAGGCCTACAACTTCTCACTGTGAAGAAAACAATGAAAAAGTGAAGAAGATGTTAACCAATAAGAGCAACAGCGAATGTTAACACATATAAGGATTGTGTTAACATTCGCTGTAAAGGATCAATCATATACATGCAGAATAATTTCTCTAAAATTTACTGTAAAGGATCAATCATATACATGCAAAATACTCCTAGGCAGGCTCTTGGTTCCTTCTCCATGGCAATGCTCATATTTGGCCCTAGTCAGGAAATAATTTATGCCTAGATTGTAGCCCTAAATCTTCTACCATACCCATGTGATCTTGCTCTGACGGTTCATACACCTGAATAAAGCCTCAAAAGAGAATGATTGTTAGTTAGTCCATATATTCAAATTCATATGATGAGGATCCTTCATGCATACTGAAAGAGGACTTTACCCATAGTTTTTAAGAACTGTACAGCTGTTGTCAGAAATTCATTGCAAACAACAGACATTATTTCCAAACATTATATAAAACATCTTTCCTTTCCTGGTTCAGTAAAAATCTTTTCTTTATTACATTCACTGAGCTTCACTGTTGTAACTTGTATTTGCCTATTAAACCAATGATAGATACTAATTCGAGATTGCCTATGCAGATGTATGTCAAAAGTTATATGCATACATGCCAATTTAATTTACAGTCAGGCTTGTCTTAAAAATAAAAACAACAGAAAAAAGCAGTAATAAAATGAAAAAGGAAAATTACAGACTTTTTCCTAGTATTTTTTTAACTTTATAAATTGCATGATGTTTTCAATTAAAGGCATAAGATATGATCTTCCAAAAAATATATTTTCCATTTCATTTTTATTCTAATGAATTCACTTGATAAAAAATTTCTATTATTATTCTCTAAATGAAACAGAATACTGTATATGAAATAATAAACGTAGAATAACTTTATATTGCTAATACAACCACAACTTTTGTTAAGGATGACGACAGGGAAAATGTCATTTTACCTTTACACTTTACATCAAATGCAAGAACAATAGACCTTTCTCAACAGAAAAATTCAGAAAAAAAAATCATAGAAACAATTAAAAAAAAGTAATATACCTACCTTATATCAGTGGCTACTTTATCAGTACCTAATTCTTGACTTTTCGCTAGACGAATGAAAAATATTTTTCTCAATAAGAATTATGTTTTAATAATATTTAAAGAACAAAAACATCCTTTTACAAAATACTTCATTAACTTGAGAAAGGTATATAATTTTTTAAATATCTGAAATTTTTGAAATTTTTAAATCTACAGTGAGGAAAAAAAATGCTACAAGTATCCACTGAAAAGTATAACTGTTAAATTTTAACTTATAGTGTTTACAATAGCATTAATTATAATATTCATAACTTCATTCAACTGTAATTACAATATTCATAACTGCATAAAAATTATATAAATAGTTTAATAAATTTAATGACTGGAAAAACATTACTATTATGTAATTAGTAAACATTATTTCTTATGGCACCAGTATCAAATACAAAGGCCTTTGAAAGATAGGCTCTCGAAATGCATGCAGCCTCTTATTATTAGTACTGCTTTTAATACAAAACATTGAAATCTTGTAAATATTAAACATGGTGTTCATCTTATATCCACTTAATTTTAAAACTTCTTTTAAAAAAAATGTGTTATCATAAGTGAAAATTTCTTTGACAAAAATAATTAACAGAATTACAGTACTTCCTCTGACAATCTATTCACTATTATTATTTATTTATAAAACCCAAAATATACACTCACTCTGAATAGTTTCCAGAAACTGTTTTAGATCTTCCATTACATGACGTTTCTTTTTAGCATCTCTTTTAGTCATTCTAAAATATAAATTCTCATTCAGTATCTAAGATCAAGACCAGCCCCCCCCCCGAAAAAAAAAAACACTACATGCATTATACAATTAAAAATCTAGCTGAAATATATGAAAGTCTTATTATTCATTTAAAAGAGAAGTATCAGATGCATTAAGTGTTAATATGATTAAATATTACATTTTTAAAGCATATTTTATCCACGATACTTCAAAGAATGGATCATACTTTAACTAATAATGAAATTTTATGACAGTTGCTATTCTACCACTTATTCTTATTATGCTTCTTCAACAGCTAAGGTATTTTACTATACCTATTTTTTATTATACATATTTTACATATTTTATTATACATATTTTACTTTTCACTGGACAACTCTTGATGTGGGAAATTATAACGCGTGTAAAAAAGGTTCTGTTACAGATTTCATAGAAATTCTGCACATGAAATATTGTAAACCCACTTCTAAAAATGACAACTGATATACTAGTGACTCTAATATCACTGTGGGGAGAATTATGCATTATTTTTAAATCTAATATCCTCATAAAATTATTAGTAAATGATAGCTCTTGCTAATGCATTTATGTTCTGAGTTTATATAATGCCTGTATTTACTAATATGTATGATATTCTTAATTTTCAGAAGGCATTGGTTTGAAAATAAAATTAGCACATTTCTAATTTATTTATTGAAAGAAAAGTACTGTAATTACCATGCAACTAAAGTATAAAATGTATTTAGGGATAAAAATGAAGAATATTTCAGTGAAAATGTTAAAACTACCATAAAACAACGTTTTATTTATCCCTATTTTTATTCGCACAAATTAATACATTTTCTTTAGAACAGGCAATTAATCAGTTGAAATCTTAGAAACTAAACTATTGGTCTGTCTTAACACAAATCATCATTCTCCAAAATGTCAATAACATTACAATTTCTCAAATAATTCTATAGTAATCCCTCCCAAACTGCATCTCATTTGTACATATTTGAAACAGTATGCAGCTTCCTACTTCCTGTTAAAACCACATCAAAATTTGGAGATGGCATCCAGCTTTTTCATTTCTTCTTCAATACTCCATAAATGGTCTGTCATTATAAAATCTAAAGATAGAAGCCAGCCTCTGAAAGCTTTCACAGTGGCAGTTAAAACCCATACAATTCGAAGGAAAATCAGTTCCCATACTAATCAGTTCAAACAGATTCAAATCCAGATTCAAATGAAATATAAGATATCAAAAACATATAAAAGATAAATACCTTTTGAGCCAGAATTTTTTATGGAATTTTTAATAAAATAAAATGAAACATGTAATTGTTATATTTTTTAAATCACAATTTACTTCTATTTTAAATTTTAAAATCATGAGTTCTAAATACTTGAGACTAATGATATTTCTTCAGGGGGGTTTATAAATACAGAGGGTGTTTACTTGTTTTTAAAATGATTTCAATAAAGAATTTTAAAAAAATTGAAATAAAATTTTCTGGCAACAGATTAGTATTTGAAATGTGAAATATCGTTTGCTACTTTTAAACTTATTCTTCTTTAAAAATGTTGCGTGTAAATAAGTTGTGCCCTGACGTATATGTTTTCCATGATTGAAAAACACTGAAAAACATTGCTTTAAATTTCTATGTGCCAAATAAGCAATATTATTAATAGGAGAGGGGAAAACTGTCACTCATCACATCTACAAGTAAAGAAGACTCCAAACAAATAATAAAAAAGGTACATACTGTTTCTAATGTTCCTTAAGTTAAATTGTTGGTAACAGAAGAAAATCTGCTGAAAACTAATTTCAAAGTCTTTAAATACATCTGTAGCAACGATAAATAAAACAATAAACCAAGATTTATAACTTAAAAAAGCTAAAGACTTAAATGTTCAACAGCTTCTGTTGTGGTAATTGTATGTGGTTGATTGCAAATTAGTTTGTAGAACTCTGTATGAAAACTATTTCACTGGAGATGCATTGTCACCCTTGAAGGAAGCATGGATTTACCTAAATGACTACAACAAACAAAAAGGTCTATTTATTATCAAAAATGAAGAGTATTTCCATTAATGCAAAGAAAGTTTCAATAAGCGGTTTATGATTGTTGCAGGATGCTCTTACAATATTAAATTTTAAAGTGTTTTAGCTTTCAAAAATACAGTTAATTTTAATTAAATTATTTTGTTCACGATGTTAATTGCATAAAGAATTGAAAGATGTAAATTTAGAAATAAAAAAAAAAACTATCATTGCACAAGTAAGCCATGATGCAGCTGTCCTAAATATTTTCTTTAATAACAGAATGATACTAAATTTGAAGAAAATTAATCATTCATAAAAATATAACCATCAGTAAAATTCTTAAAATCATTTACATACAATTAAATAACACAGAACTTCATCATTAAAACCAGTTACAAGCATTATAAAAAGTATTGATTTTCATTTAAATTGCTAAATTTACCAACCAAATCTGCCAATTATAAGAAATGTAATGCTACAGGAATACAGATACAAGCTAAATGATAAGTTTTTTCTTTTTCACCAATAATAAAGAAATTAAAAAAACTTACGGATGTGTCTTTTTCACTGTTGTATCAACTTTTTTTTTAGTCATCCACTTTTCTAACAATTTTATATAATGTGCTGACTGGGTATTGCATTGTGAAACCTTAAAAGATTATAAAACATTTTAAAGACATTATGTTTCATTTATGATGGCACATTTATGAAATCTCCTCAAATCAGTTTAAAACATGTAATAATAAACAAAAATGCAAAACAGTAATGAATTATAAATTTCCAACAAATGAAATGCAGATACATAAATAACGTGCATCTTGATATTTCAACAAGAATTACAACTTTCATTAAATGCTCTTTAGTAATGAATGTTATGAAAACTGTATTTTTAAATATAACATTAAATTATATTAATACAAACTTCATACCTATAAGTGAGATTTACTACTTTTACAACTGAAAGGAATAATAATGTATAGAAAGTGGTGTGTGTTGTGTGTGTATATTATTTGGCAAAGCGCACTAGGCATCTGCTAAGGGGGGGAGCTTTCGTGGAGGACTTTCTAAGGGAAACTGGCTCGTATACACGTTACACATGGGAGAAACCACGAAAACGCCCATGCAGCCAGCCCGTTCGCGGGATTTCGAACCTCGGACCGAACTACCATGTTCAGCGTCTTTACGCTCGGCGCGGGGGCCGTCTTTACCGCTCGGCCGCTGGTGGGCCTATATAGAAAGTATCAAACACTGAAATAAAAAAATATGTATATATATTATATATATATATTAAAGTTATATTCCATGCATTCATCATTAAAATCACTAGAAACTTACTTAAGAATATATGTATATATAAAATTCATAAAAGCACTATATTTTGAAGATCAATCAGAAAACAGTGCTATTATGATTCATCCCATTATGAATTTTTGTATACAAGTAAATAATTTTAGTGAAATTATGCTTAAAATTGTAGTATTTTTTTATATAATGTAACATGAAATGCTTGAAAGAGACAAAGCTCTGTCAGAAAAATAAAATTATGAGGCCAAGTCTATTTAACATTCAGATAAATGACTATCTCACTAAATTGACAAGATATCACCAAGCTGGCAATGGCTTTGGCAATTAACTTTTCCACCAAATTTAGCGAGAAATCATCAAATGTCGCTAAACTTGATGAACATATGGCAACATTTTGGTACGGTCTCTATATAACAGTAATTGAATAACTGTAATAGATCCCCATATGTAACTGTAACCGCATCTGGCCTTCCAGTTTACATATGCCTTTCAGTTATTCTGAGAAGTGGAAGTAATTAGACATTTCTTGGCAGCCAAGGGAAAATTAAATAAGACCAGACTTCTGCATAATTATGCAAACATCAAAGTTTCTCAATTCAGAGTCAATTTTGGAGTATTGAGATATCTTCGTGTGAACTTTCCTCTTTAGAAGCACTTTGCATTGCTTTATGTTTAATGTTCTTAGTGGTTTGAAATGTAAGTACTGATTGTGCTCTGCAATACTAAGAAGAGCTGTATGAGTATTTTGGAGAAAAGTTCCAGGACTATAAAATGTTTCTTTCAGTAAAATAAGTTTTATCAAGCTATTATCCATTCTGTGTGCATTATAAGCCTGCAGATATGCAACAACACTTATCTTTAGATTAAGCAAGATTAAGATGAATTCTGTACATAGATAGATGATTTTAGTACAATTATATGTAAAATTGTTGTATTTTTCTGAATAATGTGACATTAAAATCTAGAAGAGAAGTAAGAATACAGGTCCAAATCTATTTAACATTGAGTAAATGGCTACCTCATTAATTTGGTGAGATATCGTTAAGCTGGCAATGATTTTGGAGAGTAATTTTTGTCACCAAAATTGGCAATTACGTTTTGGTCTGGTCCCTGTATAAATGTGATAGATATTGTAATTGAATAACTGTAACTGATGCTCTGTAACCATATTCAGCCCTTATATGCCTTCCAGGAATTTCGAGAAGCAGAAAGCACTAAAAATATCTTGGCAGCCGAGTGAAAACTATACAAAACCAGAGAGAGCATCTGCTCTCAGTTGTTGTTGTGAGTTGATAGTTCAACATGAGTGCAGAGTACCGAGATCCGAGATGCCTCCAGGTTAGTTTCACTCTTTAAATGCGTTTTGCATTGTGGTGCATTTAACATTCCTAATAGTTTGAAGTGTAACTACTGATTGTACTACTGTGAAGAGTTATATGACTATTTTTGTGAAAAGTCCCAGAATGTTGAAGTGTTTCTTTTGATAAAATAAATTTTATCAACCTATCATTGAACCTGTGTGCATTTAATCTATTACAAACTCATATGCACACAACAATAATTTTTACATTACTTTGTTAAATATTATTCTTTTTATTTCATTATTTTATATGTGAGGTAAAAAGCCTTATAAGGGGTCCTTTCACAATGTTTTTCCAAAGCAAATATATCTGGATAAAAATATTTTGTTTTTCATAAATATTCATGAAATAATTTATGGCAACATAAGGTTCCAGGAACTACAGGCTTTTATATCAAATAACATTTCTTTAGAGATTATCCCTTATTAATTGAAATTAAATTATACATATATTAAATTTAGGGCTAAAAATTACATATAAAATGTTTTAGCATTCTAAGCAAATTAAAATATCTGTTCAGTATTCAGTAACTAACATTAAAAAAAATATTGTGGCATCACGGCATAAGTTGTAGAAATGTACAGTGAATTTTAATAATGTATTTCAATGTATGTCATGTAATGATGGCCAGTAATGGTGAAGCAGACCGTCCAACTCTATTTGAAGTCGGGTGGTTGGGTGAATTCCACTTATGAACTAACGCTCTATTACAAAACCGTTTCCACTGCCCATAGTTTATGGAAATTGAACTTTAATATTTATTTACATATTTAGTTTTTCTAAAATTTATCAGAATTATAGCATTCATATAGCATCAGAATTATTCATTTAAACTTATTGGATTGAATTAAATCTACTTCGTCGACAGCGCATAAACCACATGATAAATAAATGCATTCTTTAAAATTCACTCTAGTTTTGTTTACCATAGTGACATTCTGGCGCTAGTTCACTTAACAGTATATTTTGTTTCATATTATAACTCTAATGCACAAAATTTATATCATTTAAAGAATAAAATTATTAATCGTTGCCACATGTTCATCAAAAACTATAAGCTAGAATGATGTATAAAAGAAATTAAGCAAACAAACAAAAAGAAACAGTTTTTCCACAGACGATGAGTATTTCTCATTCAATTAATTCAGTTCTCACTTTGCGAGAAGGCAAAAATACATAAAAACTCAAAATATCTATATTAAAAATTACGAAGTAAATCTTAAACATTTATTCCCTCGAAAAAATTCCAGAAAGGATTAAGTATGATTTGATTGGCAATAATAAATGAAGGCATTATCTTTGTTGTTGCAAAGCTAAGTTTCTCTAGATTGGCAACAAATCCACTAGTCTGCTGTTTCAAGTGTAAACAATCAATGGCCGACATAAAAAAGGCTTAGCGGTGCTTAAACAACTTCAAAATTGTTGATAATTCTAAAAATATTGCACACAGATTTACTAAAGGCATAAAAACCTTAACCGGAAGATAAAAACAACATAATTCAATCATTTTTAAAGCAAAAAATGTATAATTTACAAACATATACGAGTAAAGAAACTGAGATCACTGAGCCGGGTAACAGAGTGGATATATATATAAATATTATTTATATGCGTTTAGTGCAGCCAATTGCAACCAAAATACGAGGTGCACATCTACATGTTTTATAGCAGTCCTATATACAAAATTTCAACGTTCTGAGGCAACTCGTTTTTGACTTATCCAATACGTACGTACATATGTTCGTACAGACCATGAAAAATTCTCTTCAGAATTAATTTTAAGCAGTTTTTATAATTTTTTGGATGAAACGAGTCTTTATTCTGTCCTTACGTACATATTCACGCAAAAACATCGTTAAATTGCATTTGATGCGGTCAAATGGATATTTTCGTTGAAATATGCTACCTGAAACTTTTCGCGATTACAATACTTTCTTTTTACTCCGTACAAGGAAGTAAAAACACCATTCCCAAAAACTGAAAATGAATGTTTTACTTTTTAATATGATTCTCTTTGAAGACTGTATATGGCAGGGTTCGTAGACACATTTCAGTTAAAAAAAATAAGCACCTATAAGCACTTTTCAAGCACTTTTTAAGAAAAAAAAAATAAGCACCTGTCTAATTACATTATACACTACTGCATAACCTTAAAAAGAATTATACTTGTAATTTAAAATATGAGAAATTCAGTATTTATTAAGAGAGAATGAGCATTACTCATCCATGGAAAACATTACATTCTTTTTTTTTTAATTTTAAATAACAGTTCAATTTACAGAACTAGTTTACAATGAGAGAGAAAACTATGCAGATCTAAATTATATTACAAGATTTAATGATGAAATTTCAGTTCAAAATAGAGAAAATAAATAATAATACGCCATATTTATTATATGAAATCAGAAGACGGTAAATTGCTTCATGCAGTCATCCTTTAACAGTAAAAGCTTAACTAACCAGCATACTCGAAAATTGTCAAATATCTGAAATTCGGGATTACTATCCTGGTGTAACTGGTAAAAGTGGAAGGGCAGGGTAGATCGTAGCCGTTCTTTAGATTTTTCAGCTAAATAATGCTTTTGACATTCCGATATGTGCATCATATAAAAAATAGCCCTATGGAACTGAAAAATAATCTGTTTAGCAAGCACAGTAAAACTCTTTATCTCTGGGAAATATTGCAAACATTATTGTGCAATACATGTCCCTTAATTCTTCCTGCAAACGTTATTGCGCAATACGTGCCCCTTAATTCTTCCTCACCTGATATTTCGCAATCATGATAGGTGTCGATATTCCAAGAATAAATAACCTAAATAAAGGAAAAGGACCTTTTGCTTCCTCAGGTTTTCACCTTCCCTTGGGTTGGTAGACCGCAAAACTTTTAGTCCTATTCAATCCAGATAGAATGTGACCAAAAAAAAAGTCCATTGCTTGCTTTGCTGTGAACTGTAATGGTTTCAATATTCGAGATTTTGCGGAGAAAGGGAAGGATCCCGAACTTCCGTACTGTATAATGCATTGGCCAAAAGAAAAAAAAAAAAAAAAAAATTACTATTTGATTACTTTATTTATGCCATTCCGAATATTACTCCTTAGAAGACTAATCTGTGTTAAAACACTTACCAATTTTTGAAGTTTATCTATACTTCAGCAGTTACTGCAAATATATTATAAACATTCATACATATGCTCATAATATAAGTATACCAATCATCATAAACGCGAATATGAACTGACCACGCGAAACGAGAATGAAAATTATTAAAATCTTGATAGAAATTCAAACGTGTGTAATATTGGGGGGGGAAGCAAAAGAATACGGAATGTAACAGAATTTTCTACCGCTTTGGCAATTCTTTGACCAATAAACGACGTGCATGTCTTACTCACGCGACCAGAGGCAAAGAAATACAGGGTGTTTCACAATCATGGGACAAACTTGGAGGGGTGGTGGAGCGTACTAAAAATGTGCATTTTTTTATAGGAATGTAGGGTCTAAAGTGACGGGTTAAGGCAGGAACGCATAAAAAACGACATGAGAGGAAAATGTATTTATGTACAAAATCGATCTATACCGCTCCTACATAGACATTGTTGAATACATTGACGTTCTTTGCCAAAGGTTATGTTAATGCAGAGAAAGGGGCGAAAAGCTATTTCAGGGAGTATGATTCAACATCTGATGTTCCATATAAGGAAGAAAAGTTGTTTATTTAGTTTCGGCTTTGGGGGGAAAATGGGCGTTCATTTAAAAATGTGTATTAAAAGCATTAAAAAAACTAAACAAACAAAACAAAAAATAAGTGCTTTAGAGAAAAAGTAAGCACCTATAAGGGCTTTTATATTTTATTTTCAAATATAAGGACTTATAAGCACTTGTAAAGACTGCTACGAACCCTGATATGATGCTGCCTTTTCAAAATATTCCATGTAAACATGACGCAAGTTTAAATGCAAGGCTTTTCCCAGACTTAATTTAATGAAATAAGCAGAAATTACTTCATTAAAATGCATATTCTAATGCAAATTTTAAAATTATGTTGTTTTCAAGCCTAAAAGCTGAACTAGATGATTTTTAAGTAAATATTTATTCAACTGCATAGCGAAGTATGTTCATATACATGTTACAAAATGGCATACAGTTGATCAAAAAATTAAGATAGCTTTACATGTTTTATTAAAAGGATTTGCATAAAAATTTCTCCATAGATAAATGTAAAGCAAAATACCTGTTCCTGATTTAAATTTTCAAGAAATTCTTTCACGGTGATTTTAATTTCCCTCCTTTTCGAACCTGAAAAAAAAGGGAAATTATGCTGTAAGAATGAATTCAAAATGACATAAATACAATGTACTTATTTCTCAGTATAAGAAAATGAAATCAATAAAGTTTGATAAACATATGGGAAGGGAGTGTCTGCTATTTTACTTTTAAGCATATTTTACTTTTAAGCAATGTTTTTAACTTAGATACGATACACATAAATTAAAAATTTTTGTCTTCAATAAAAAAATCATAAAAATATTTCTTTAATAAACTTGTATCATTATTTAACCATTGATTTCATAATTAAATTTTAATTTAATTATTTATTGCATAAACTCTAGGCTGTAAATCTGGGCTTGTGAGCATTGTTAAGATATTTTTAATCCAGATTTAAAGACACATAAAGGGAGAAAGAGCTGAAAAAAAATTATGACACAGTTATCTTCTTTCTTTTCCCCGAACTATAAAACTGTCACTAAGATATATCATCTCAGATAAAAAAAAGTCACAGTTTTCTCTAGCATAGTTTCAAACACCAGTGAAGCAAAAATATGCCACAATTACACCCTACACCAAATTTATCTATAAAATTGTTCATTGGGATATATTGCCTTGCACAAAAAAAAAAAAAAAAAAAAAAACTCACTCTTTTCTAACATAACTTCAAATATTCTCAGGTGCCATGGTACCTTTCTCATGTTTCAAGAGCAAAATATACCTAGCTCCCTCTGGCAAGTTAAGAGTTGCACAGAATCAGTTAAAGAAGCATTTCTCAAACTGCTTTACAATGGACACTAAATTCATAAATTAGAATGTTCTGTACACCACCTGTTATCACTTTCGAAAGGAATTTTTTTGCATATGTTACCCGCAAAGTTTGAAATCTGGCATTCTATAGAATGCCTAGCCATTGTATATAATACTAGCTGACAATGTATGAAATGATTCCTATTTCACACATTTCCTAGGCATTCTACAAAATGTCAAATGACAAACCGGCAAAATATGAAATACATTTATGACTTGTTTCTAAGAACCAAGCTACTTACCAGAAGTTAATAAATGATGTAAAAAGGACAAAATAACTACTAAGAAGGAATCATGGGATCACTGGCTGCTGAATCGCTAGGATGTGATATTTGTGAAAAACAAAATTACATTCATTTATCCTGTTAAAGAAAGTGTCAGTACTATATAGTATTACATCATGGGAGCTGAGTTATTTCCCATACATAATGAAAACTCATTTGAGTACTGGACATGGAAGACGTGAAAAATGTTAAAAGAACTTTCAAACAAATACAAAAACATTACACGTAATGAAATTGAACTGTACAGCCACGTTTGTGAGCCCTGTCAGAACAAAAACAAAAAGGTATTAGAAAGGGCATTGTTGGGAAATATGATTGTTTTTTAATTTAATTTCCGTTCTCAGGTAGATCTGATTCCTAGTCTCAGCCAGACAGAAAATACAAATTTATTATGTTGATCAACATAATCTCCCTTTCTTTTTTATTTTTTTATTTTTAACATATTTGGAACAAGTTTTTAATGGCACTCTTAAGTTTTCAAAATAGCATTTGTATTTTTGAGGAATAAAGTCTTTTAAATAATAAGCCTTATATTTAAAAGACTTTATTCCTCACTTTATTCTTAGTCTTTTAAATAATAACCTTTTTTTTTCAAACTTTGCCTAAAGAGTGTCATTCTATAGAATGCCTAGATATTACATACAATGCCTAGGGAAGGTATGTAATAATTCTCATATTTCATACTTTGCCTTAACTCGTCCAGCATTATACACAATGCCTGGGCATGTTATAGAATGCCGTCGTTTCATACTTTAGCAGTAACACATATATTAGTACCGGTATACTTACAGTCTTAAAATGCAATTAATTAAAATTAATCTTATTTTATATTGGTATTAATCAATTAAATCAATAGAAGGAAATTTATGTGTTTTTTTTAATAATTCAAGATTATTAGAATTTGGATAATCTTTGTCTTACTAACTAAAATTAAATAAAGAATGGTTTTCCCATTAATTATATGGATGAGCCTGCCAATTCTTGCATAGCTGTTCTGTACTTCGATGTACGCTAGTAAGCTTAAATCAGTATGTACATCAAGTCAAATTCAACCTTTGGTTTTTATTTGTGTTAGTAATGGAAACTCTTTCTCACACCGAAATGTAAGAGCAAATTGAATTATACAGTTTACTATATCATCCTAGCTCCCAGCCTTGAAATATGAAAAACCTAGAGGTTGAACCACCAAAAACTGCAAGTTTGCAAGAGGATTTTGTGCTGCATGGCACCATTTTAAAAGAATTGAAAACTGATTTAGATTTGCTGTTATTTAAATATGATTCTGATGCAGGGTCAGTGCTACTTTTTTTTTTCTGCCTGGTGCAGTTTCTGTGGGTCCTTAATTCTGTCTCTCAGAGACTTCTAATTTTTAAAAATTTTGTTGGCCCTAAATTCTTTTGCCTGGTGCAGCAGCACCGTTACTGGTACCGGCCCTGTTCTGACATAAAATATATTTAATTGCATATTTTAAATTTTATGGCCTTTGGCTAATTTCATTTTCTAATTTTCTTACCCTTTTGTACTGAAAAAAATTCTAAATAGAGAAAAAAGTTTTAATGTAACAAACCACTCTTAAATATGATGAAAATAAAATTATTCAAATTGCATATTTTTAATGTTTCCTGTTCCGAAATGGGGCTCTACACATGATATAAAATAAAATTAAATACAAATATTGGTACTTACGTATTATCGCAACCAGGCCAAAATTCGCATAAATTGCCAAATTTGGCGACCCTACTTACGGCAACCCTACGTGTTATACGTAGTTTTGTAAAAAGAGCATGTGGAAATTAACAAAATTTTCCTGCATTTTGGTGCAAATTTTAGTAATTTATGAGAAAATAGCAGTGTACATGGATAAAGTCAAGAGTGTGCGCAATGCCATTTTTGTGCAATTCTGGGATTTTTTTTAAGTAAAAATAAGTCGACGTGTACATGGTTATGGCGAATACGGTTTTCAATCAGTGCTAAAATCAATAGCCAAAAGATTTCCGCCAAAAAAATAATTCTGCAACTTATTCAAATTCGAAACCGGAAGGGTTTAATTGCTATTTTATATTTTAAAACAAAATAATATAAAAAACTGTATTAAAAATTATCTGTCATTAATAAATGTACATTTTCTTTCTATTCATACTTTTTTACTGAAACTTACAAATAGCGCCAAACCTGGTTGCAATAATACGTAAGTACCCAAATATTTAATGATTAAACATTTGGTTGAATCTTCATATAAAATTTTACAAAATGTCAACAATATGATTAAGACAATTCAGATCAAATAAAATTTAATAAGAAAAAATATGCAGAATATCAATCATTAGGCATGGAATAATGAAATTTGCACAATTTAAGCTTCAGTAATTCAATTATGAAAACTTAAACTGTGAAAACTTTATTTTCACAATCAAATTTTACAGATGCAAAAACTTTCACTAGTAGAGGCTAAAAATTAAAAACAGCAGATTCAATAATCAACTGGTAGAGTTGGTCTCCATCCCCAATGCAGTTCATAATATCGGAACTTTTTTTTAATATGCAATCAAAGAATAATTTATTCTGATTAGAGCTCACATAGTTTCGTTCTTTCATTCATAATTCTGTACATTCAGAAATAATAGCACAGAATACAGTATGATAAAGTCAGAAAAGGGTATATATTTTTAAAATGATAATACAGAATACGGTGTAATAAATTCAGAAATAAATATAGAAATCCAACCATACAATTATAATTGACATAATGTAGAAGCAACTCGGAAATGGATAAGTAGAGGTGTCCAAATTGGTGTCCAAATTGCTCAAACTGGTGTCCAAATTGCTCAATAAAATATTACTACTAAACAACGCTCTTTTCATTTTTCACATACAGTAAAAGCAACACTGATAATTTCCAATGCTTCAATAACATATACCTTTTTCAAGTATGGTTAAGATTCTATTTCAAAATATATATATATATGTGTGGGTTCTTTAGTTTCGAAATCACAATTCATGTTCAAACAAAACACATTTAATAAAATATAATACTCAATAATTAGTTCATCTATTAATACAACTATATAACATCGTTATCTATTACCGACGATCTCTCTAATCTATTAATGACACTATAATGTCTTACATCTATTAATAGAGCATCCATATCATTACATCTTCTCATAAAAAGTGCGAGAGTTCTATCAACTCGTGCAGTCCAGTAAAAATTAAACAGAGCGCGAGGAAAAATATAAGCTATGAATTTAATCATATATATATATGTTTTTTTTGTATTTGAAGATCACTAGCTTAAAGTAAAAATATTAACTCAAATATGTCAACTGTAGATATCAATGGCAATCGACCAAACGTTTTTTTTTTTTTTAAAAAAAAAAAAGGTAATAGTAAAAATCTGAAAGTTTCAGTTTAAACTGTTCAAAGGGTGTTTCTTAATATTTTGTGTGTTACCTTTATTTATTAAATAGCATGTTCTTCTCACTTAAACCATAAAATTCAGTTCAAGAGCAATATCGCAAAATAATTTTTAAAAAATGAGCATATATTTAGAACTTCCAATAATAGTCTCCTACATAAAGATAAAAAAAAAAAAAAAAAAAATTATTTTTCTGTGAATGCTGCCATTGCTTGCTTTGAAATCATCGAGTTTGTTAATCAAAAATTCGTTAAAATTTTACAAACTATGAAATCGATAATAAAACAAATTTCAAATTTTGGCTACCAGATGCCCATATTTGGGTGGAAACGTACTTTATTCAAAATTTCATGGCTGAAGGTACTGTTGTTTTATCACAGTGCGAGAAACATACATACATTTATGCAGATTCTTCATTTTTTAATTTCTTTAAATATAATACCGAGCGATAATATTGCAACAATGTGAAAAGTGAAACAACGCTTGAAGTGAATCAACACAAAATGCCAAAACGAACTTGAAATTCCTTCTGGCAAATTGCCTCTTTGGACTAAAAAAATACAACTTTGACAATATTATGGCTCAAAACTATAATATGTACTATAATTTTATAGAAGAAAAGTAGTGTCTTTTAATGCAACCTAACATATAAATACATATTAAAATTATACATAAATTTACTATTATAGAAATACTAAAGGTTAACAAAATAATATCAAGAGAAATAATTACCCTTAGGAAGTTTAGGAGATGTATAATCCCAAATCACATCTGGATAATTATCTTGAGAACATGGGATAGAACAAGACGGCGAACCCAGATTTTTATTACAAATCTGAGGGGATCGTTCAGAAACTGGTGTAGAACAGGAAATGGTGTGAACATCTGCAAGTATTAAAAATTTAAAAGAAATGCTAATTAAAAATTACTTTAATAATTATATGACATAGTAGATGAAATGGTATAACTAAAGCATCAATTTTAAATGAAATGGTATAACTAAAGCATCAATGATATAAGTAAAGCATTAATTTTTCTTTATAATTCTCAGATTATTTCTAAATATATTCATTTATATTTTTAATATGCTCCTTCATTTATAACCCTCCAATTTACAAATGTTGCACAACTTATTAAATACTGTAAAGAAGATAAAAATTGTAATGTGATTATGCATATTAAGTAAATACTATAAGAGATATTGAAGATACTATAAAGAAGATAAAAACTATAATGTGATTATGCATATTAAGTAAATACTATTAGAGATATTGAAGATACATAGATTAATTCAGAAGTCAAACTACAAACAACAGCGCTGTCTTTTCAAATTTTCACAGGACTAGTTTGGATGGTTTTACTGAACCATCATCCTCAGCTGTTAAAGTACAAATGAACGAGGCGAGATATAGCGATTAGATAAGATAAGAATAGTTCAGTTAGATTTTTTACTAATAATGTAATATTCAGCTAATATTTCAATCAAGAATCATAATAACTCATTGCAATTTCTTAGAGTGATGAAATAGGTATAGGAAATAAATGCATTCATTTTAAAATTTAGGAATTCAAAAAACAAAGATAATTTATTCATAAAAATTCAATATTTTAAAAAAAGTCTTCATTCATTTACTCACCTATACCCTGGTCTCGCCTTGAAGTTTTACGTCTGGTTTTAAGAGGAGTCACTTGATGTTTGTTACGGTCCGTCATAGAGCCACAAGTTTCTGAATCCGAACATATTTTCTTCATTTTACGTAACAGATATATAATTCAGCAATAAAATAACTGAAACACAGCAATAAATTTACGTCTGATAAAAATATTTTATTACATGTACCAGAATTTGAAATTCAAAATAAATAATATCCCACAATGTAATGTTACACACAACATTAATATAACATAAATTCCACATATACCTAAACATTTCGATTTCAAGAGTCAATATCTAATGCCATAGCAAGATAAATAAGCTAGCATTATAATCTGGATAACAAAAATACTCATATGCATCTTTAAAAGCATTTACTCTTTATATTTAAACATATATCAAAAGATTAAACTTTGGCAATAATCGGAATCACCGCCAAACTGAAAACAATAAACGTTATACACGATTGCCATTCTATTTCTATTAATAAAGGAAAATACTAGAATATATTGTAAGATCTAAAAACATGATTCCTTTATTCTTAAATATATATCTTATCGAGTGCTTTAAATTGATTTTTGATTTTTAAGATTGTTTTAATATCACTACCGTAACCATGATGATGTTTATATTGTTTGTGCTGGGACTTTGTCTGTCTGTCTTGGTCGAAATGTATTCGAAATTTGTTTGTGTTATTGATCTCACCTAAGTTTATCGCGTGAAAGAGAAAAAAATATGATGCAGATTTTTTTTTTTTTTCTATTCTTTCTTAAGAAGTTTATTTGTAGTTCTTTATAAATAAACTTCGTAAATATTTGTGAAAGGTAATGTTTTATTTTTTTTTAAATGCATTGTCTTGAAATGCTGTCCTTTTAATGGTAACATCTTTTTTCAGCATGTAATTTTTATGTGTAATTGTATATAAATGTGCTTTTTTAAGAAATTTGTATAATTTCATGTTTTTCTTAATAGTTTCTCATTTTGTATTATGTTTTTGTATGTATTGACTATTTTAAACGCAGTTTCATTAAAATAAGTTGATGTCTATATCATTTATATCTATTAGGTGTCACTTCATATGGCAATAAAATATGGAATACTTTTAATTTATTCAGCATCGCCTATCTCTCAAGGGTATGTGAAATATTTTGATAGATTTTAAATAAGTTCTTAGTATTAACAATCTTGGTTCATCTTTAGTTCTAATGATTTGCTGAATTGATTATTTAATATATATATAACTTTATTCATGTGAATTTTCATTTGGAAAAAAAAGTTAAATTTGTCTACCCAGGATACGGAAAGGCACCACTGAAACAAACTGTTAAATCAAAGGCATAGAACATCTGATGCCAATTAAATAATTTTGAAGATATGTTAGTAATTCCCAAGATTATGTTTAAAATTTCATCATTTCTTCCCCCCCCCCATGTTTTTATTGGCATACTTACTTTGAATATGTGACAATTTGTGGTAGAAGTAAAGAAATAATTAATATATATTGTTTTTCCTGTTTCATATTTGTATTGTATTCAGTACCCATTTCTACGTATTTGATGACATGAATTTTCACGTTGCCAATCAAAGCAACTTTGTGTAAACTTACCTTGCTATGGAATGTAAACCGCTTTTCTTTTTGTGGTTTTCCTTGCATAATGAGAATTTGAGCCAGTTTTTCCTTTGTAAGTCCACCGTGATGACATCAAAACCCTTAGGCAGACTTTTCCTTTGGTATATTTAAATAACCAACTACCAGTGCTTTGTTAGATTCAAATAACCAACCTAAAACCATTATCTTCAATGCATTTCTATACCTATACATTAATACATTCATAAATTATAAATAGGCAGAATAACCATGGATATATGAATCTCGCATAATATTCAAACTTGCTCGCATTAGTCTTGGCGGTATTTTTACTATACACTGTACTCAGTGGGTAACATTTTCATTTGAATAATTATGGAGAAATAGGAATAATAAACCCTAAAATTAAATATTATTTTTATTTGTTGATCATTGGAAAATTTCCCCATAAATAATTCTGTCATAGATAATTATAATAAATTTTGTTATTTTCTCCCTCTGTTCTTTTTGCAAAATACTCTGAATCAGTAATTCTTAAGAAAAAATAATTATTTCTTTATTCGAAAAGGTCATAGAAAATGTTTTTGGGAGCATTCAAGGAAAAATATGTTACTGAATCATCTTTGAAATAATATCTATCAGCACACTCACACACCTTTGCTTAGTATTCGCAATTTTCTGGAAACTGGGAAAGTGTGTTTTATGATAGTTGTTATATATGGGCCATCACAGTGTTTTTAATTGTTTTAATTCTTTGAGAATGTAGCCAACTATCTTAATAAGAGATAATAGTGGGTTTACAGAATTAGAAATCTGGCGTAAGAAAGGGTTATAACACATCAGGGAACTGTTTCTCATCTAAGAAATCTAAGGTTCTTTGTTCAAAATATGACACCATGTTCATTTTTATAAAAAAACTTCAGTTGATCTTTACTGCATGGTACCCCTTAGTTTCTGTCTGAAAAAAATCGCCAAATGGTTGTTCTTGAAATCTGGAAGCCCGCTGCATAAAATAGGTTTTTCAGTAACTATCCTTGAAGAAAATTTTGGCGTTTTTTTTTTTTGTTGTTGTTGTTGTTGTTTGTTTGTTTGTTGTTGTTGCTGTTGTGGTTTAGTTTTTTCATTAAAAGGGGTTATTTCTGTGAATATCGCCAAGCGTGTTGTGATAAATTTAGATTTTGGTTATTTTTTGTTATAGTAACCCTTTTGTGTGGACCAGGGTTTTTGGTTCTTACAATTCTTTTCAGTTGCATATGTGTGTGGTATGGTCTTGGATTTTGAACTTGCTATTATTTTGCTATGGGTACAACCATTTGAGTATGTCCGAGGTGGGTAAGAGGATTAATGTTGATTAACAGCAGATGAGCTAAAACAACAAAAAAATTAATTGAATTCCTTACATGGAGGAGATTGTGGCGGGAAGCATGAACGTGTGCACCTGAAAAAAGGTATGTTAAAAAATTGATGTTTCATTTATTTATTCATCTCTGTGCATTAATTTTTGTTAAAAGATTTGTTATTTAATGTTTTTATGTTAGGAAAGATGTATTTTTGGTTATTTATTACTCTGTTTGTGAATTTTGGGTTATTTGTTTGTCCTCTGTGTGTTAAGACAGCGGCAAATTTTTTCTGATTAACATGATAGTTTTCACTTTGTTTTAGCTTCCTGCTTTTGTTTAATTGCAAATAGATAAAATAGATCAATGTGTACATGGACAAAGTTAAGCCAGTGCACTATGCCTAGTTTGTGCAGTTCTCTGTTTGTTTGTTTGTTTTTTTTTTTTTTTTTTCAAGTTAAAATAGGTTGATGTGAAACATGAACACCAAGTTTGTGTAAGTCATTGTTTTTTTTTTTTTTTTTTTTTTTTTTGTGTGTGTGTGTGTGTGTGTGTGTATAGCAGGCAGAAGGATCGGCACCTTCAAATTGGTGCTGATCCTTCCTGCCGGCTAATCTTCGCATCAAAAAAGAGATGCTTCACCAAGGGGTACTGTAGAGTAAATTTGGTACTATTCTGTTTTGAGGACCGTAAAAAAAATTGCAGTGAAAACGTATGCGCAAAAGCGCCAAATCTAGCAAATGCACCCATTTAATAGCGCGCCAAATCTAGCATATGTGTTGATTTCAAATTGCGTAAGTTTAAATAATTCTAAATTTCTTAAGACGCCATTGAAATACTAGTTTGATTTTTAAATCCTTTTTTGATATCCTATGGATTTAGCAATTTGGGAATTGCCCATGACGAAAAGTCTGCATAGAATTTTTTCAAAGAAAAGGCATCATTCAGATCGAAATTTGTTTTGAAACACGAGAGAAATTATGCTTTAGCGTAACTCGGTAGCGAATGCATGCAAGAATCCATTCAGTTATGTTTGCTTTTTTTAATGTAATTATAAAAATAAACATCTGAAGGTTTTTATTTTCATTATTACAGGGGCGTTTTTTTAATGTTTTGTGTGTTACCTTATTTATTATATCATGTCTTTGCACTAACATAAAATTCAGTTCAGTAGCATGTCTCATATTTTAAATGAGCATATCTTTAGAATTCCGATACACAATTCTGCGCCCGCTGGAGATAAAAAATTTTTGGTTGATCTTTACATATGGTACTGGCGATGTTTTGGCAAATTGGCACCACTCTCCTACAGCAACCCTCTATTTTTTTTCCCCGCCGCCAATTTTGTCTCACAAGTAAAGAAATGTTTCTTTCTTTTATCTACTAACACTTCTTCCACATCTACTACCGAATTACACTTATGTAGAATTTAATCTAACAAACTGCTTATCGTGACAACTATTCACTGCAAAATTGGGGAAAGTGCACATACCATACTCTTACGCGTTTTCAAATAACACATACACACTCCCAGAATTGCACAAAAATGGCATTATGCACACGGTTCGCTAATCCATGTACACTGCTTTTTTCTCATAAATAAGAAAAATTTCACGAAATACATGACAATTTTTTAATCTTTAAACCCGAAAAGACTATAGAAATTACCTGATCGCGAAAGTATATACCCTTCCCATTGAAAATTTTCCACTATAAAATAAATAAAATTCCAAAAACTTTACCCTCTCAATTATCTATTTATTATACGTACCAACGATTCAACGCAAACATTACAATATTTATGCAAATATTTAAATTTCCATGCACGTTTACTTCAACTAAAACGTATACCAATTCCTACAAACTAAAATTCAAAAATAACTATCATTTATAAAATACACTAAACCATGTACACTCGACTTATTTTACTTAAAAAACATCCCAGAATTGCCTAAAAGGCATTCGCACCTCTTCACTATATCATGTACACTGCTTTTTCTCATAAATTAGAAAAATTTCACGAAAATGCATACATTTTCTAAATCTTTAAACCCGGTAAAAATAACATATATGAATCCTGATCCGAAAAGTATATACCCTTCCAAATATGACATTTCCCCGTATAAAAAATAAAATATCCAAACTTTAACCTCTACTTATATTATTACAAACGTCACTAACAATTAATACCGCAAACATTACAATGGTTCAAATACTATGTCAAATATTTAATATTTCCTGACTTACGCAAATTACTTTACTCCATATAGAAACTCATAAAAATAATTCAAATCTAACTTACCATCTCTCGAACTTGATTTGTGTCCGATAAACTTTTCTATTTCTGTTTCAGGATCTTTAAAATCATACTTATAGTTCACAGCAGGTACCAGTAAATAAAACTTATAAAATCTTTACTTCACTCGCACAACCTTAAAGAACACTTTTACTACCTCAATCCCCTAAAATACCATTCGATTCACTTAGTTAGGGCCATGGATCCAAAATTAACGAACACTGTTCACACAACGCAGAATAAGCCAATACAAAATTTCCCGATGTCCCCCTTTTTCCGATAAGAACCTATTCGTCCATTAATATCACATACATCCCTAATCTCTCATTTCCCTCACACAAAAAATCGATCGGACTGAGTACTGCTCCATTTTACCAAATCCCAGGAGTAACCTTTATCGCCTCCAAATGTCGCAACTACCAGTTACCATATTCTAATATCCAGATTTTTTCCCCCACCATAGAGTGTTATGAAAAAAATAAAATTATAAGAAGTTTGATTATCGTACGAAGAAAATAGACAGAGACATTTAATTTCAAAATTTGCAATTTTTTATGCCATTTTCAAGTTGCTTTGAGGGATCAGTTAATTATGTTAGAATAATTCAAGGAAATAAGTTTAAATGAAGTGCAGCAGAAAAAAAAAATATGTATAATTTAATAAGCCATACAAAGGCTTATGTGATGTCCGCTTCAGACTTTTTATATGTTTGTGATTGTGCTAAATATTATGGACATGTTAATATTATGCATGTATTAGATTTAATTAATTCTTTCGCTTTTACATTACGAACAGTTTCAGAATCCAAGAACGGATTAATCCAATTTACATTAATTCTTATGGAGAAAATTGTTTCAGTTTGCAAATATTTCCGATGATAAACCACCATCGTTTATCGTTGAGTTTGTTACTCAAAAATTCCTTAAAGTTTTAAAAAAATATGAAATTGATAATAAAACAAATTTCAAATTTGGTCTTCTACTTGCCCATATTCGTAGTAGTATTCAAAATTTAATGACTCTATGTACTGTTGTTTTATCACAACGCGAGAAATAGACATTTATTTATCCAGATTTTTCATTATTTAATTTCTTCAAATATAATGCAAGACTCTAACATTTGGTGGAACCAGTTTGAAAAGTAAAATGGACATTTATAGTGATTCATCGCAAAACGAAAACAATAGTCCTTCTGAGGCAAAGCTTCTTTGGACTAATAATGATCTGAAATAGTTATTTACTCTTATACATCCATACAGTTATGTTTAGCCTTTTTTATATAAATTATAATAATAAAAAAGGGTACTTACGTATTAACGCAACCAGGCCAAAATTTGCATAAATCTCCAAATTTGGCAACCCTACGTGTGTGGAAATAGACGAAAGTTTATTTGTAAAAAGAAAAATACACTGGGCGTGTACTACCACACAATGGTTTTCGGTGGAATTTGCAGAGAAAAAAGAGACTTTTTTGGTTACTGTACCTAACAAGCACTGTTTCACTCTGAAAAATTTGCGAAATATCAAGAGGAACATCATTTATTCGGATTGCTGGAAAGGATACATAAAAGTGAGTTCGAAATGCTGGATTTCGCATGGAACTGTTAACCAAATATAACTTTGTGGATCCCACACGGGGGTTCCACACAACTGTAGAGCGTGTTGGGGCTCAACCAAGGCGCAACAAAAACAGAGAGAACAGCCCGTCATCTCTTGACTCATACTTATCGATTTTATGGCGCCAGCCAACTGTAATGGCAAGACTTTTTCAATCGGCTAAGCAATAGCCAAAGATTTCCGCGAAAAAAAACCCCCTTATTCAATTCAACCGAAGGTTTAATTGGCTATTTTATATTTTAAAAAAATAATATAAAAACTGTATTAAAATTATCTTAATTATAAATGTACTTTTCTTCTATCTACGTTTTACCAACTTAAAAATCGCGCCAACCTGGTTGCGATAATACGTAAGTACCTAAAAAAGTATTATATGAAATTAACCTTTCATCTAAATTAAAACAACAATAATCTTAGATAATTGTTTACTATTCTTGCGTTAGGTTTGCCACAATTATTTTTGGCAGCAATTTTGGCATCCACAATAGTTTGGCAATTTTTTACGGCCCTCAAAACGAAATAGACCATAAATTTTAACCAAAATTCATTAAAATTCAAGAATTGTATATTAAATGGGGGGAAAATCCATTAAAAATAATGTTTGGGCAAAGATGATATGTGAGCTACTTTTATAAAAATACAGGATATAAAGGTAAAAATTATTGCTATTAATTGGAACTTAATTGACTTTTCAAGGGGAACAAATCAATTTCCAATTAAATAACAGGTTAAGCTATATTGAAGGTTGCCCCTTGGATTATCACGAAGTTGTTGTTTTATTTATATGGTATCCTGAGTAGTTGAATGTTATGGAAACCCTACTATGACATAATTGATTGTGTGATTGTGGTGAATTTGAATGATGGGAAAAGATTTGTAAGTGTGTTGGATGTTGGTTAGGAAGTACGTTGGTTATTTTGTGGTTTACATGGTAAAATGGCTGAATGTGGCAAGATTAATTTGAATTTCTGTACTATTTGGAATGAAAGATGGGAAAAACATTAATTGACTGGTACGTAAATGAAGGTTTACTTAGTAGCCATTATAAGTATAATGTTTGTATGGAGAAAATGCGTGTTATTGAAAGTCGGAGAATACCGGCACTACAGAGGATATTTTTTACTCTTATTTTTGTGAATTTATGTGGCAATGCCATATACAGATTCTAGTCGATAATTTTAGGAGTTTTTGGATGCTGTAAAGAACTTTGTTTGATAAGACACGAATTTCTAAATAAGTAAGTGATATTCCTTTATGTAGTGTAAGATGGATTTCTTTTATTTATGATATTCATTTTTATTTAAAATGTATTTATTGAGATTTATTTTTTGTTTGGTTCAGTGTAGAATTGGCGTCCTCCTTGACTTTTTAACTGAAATAGAGATGGTAACATGACAGAGTCAAGTTGGCATTCTCTGATTTTTTTCAAGTGAAATAGTCGATGTGTACACGATACTGAGTTTGCAGTTCTTTGACTTTTTATTTTGGCCATAACACCCGAAAATACTTTCAGATCAAACACAAATCGCTTTATATTTTCAAATTTTTCACAGGACTAGTTTCGATGGTTTTACCGAACCACCATCCTCAGCTGCAAAAGCGCAAATGAACGAAATAGGATATAATGATTAGATAAGATAAGAAAGCCTAGACAGTGCTTCATGACATCTCAAATGTGCTCTCTTGGGTTAAAATCTAGCTAGTTAGGTGGCCAAGACATTAACTGGAATTCATCCTTTTACTCCTCGAACCACTCCAACACAATTCGAGCCTTGTGACATGGTATGTTGTCCGCCTGGAAGACAATTAGGAAGGCAGATACCATGTAAGAGTGGAACTGATCCGCAATTATGTTCAGATAATCTGCAGTTTTCATAGTCTGTTTTACCACAGCTAAGAATCCCAGAGCTGCCCATGAGAACATCCCCAAGGCATAATACTGCCACCACCAGCTTGTTTTTAAGATGGCATACTCTGACATGACCACCAATGTGATGAATGAGAAATCATAATTCATCCAACCAGGTAGTTGATAATAACGCTTGGTCAATAGAGACACATGAGTGGGACATCTGCTGTGCAGTCCCATATCCAGTATCTGCTAAGCTGTGTGTTCTGAAACACTTGTACTTGGAAACTTGGGTCTGCATTCTATTGGGCTGTCAGCTGAGCCACTGTCTGACATCAGTTTTGCTGTACTAGGCAGGATAGTCTCAGATGTCCTTTTTCTCCGATGATGTGTGAGTATCCAAATATATATATATATATACAAGGCACTCGTACATTTCTTCTCAGTATTATAGAGCACAGTCAGTAGTTATGCCCCAAACTACTAAGAATGTTAAACACAGTGCATTGCTAAGCTAACCTAAAAGCTTGCAATACTCTCTGTACTTCGAAGTCAGTTCAAACTTAAAACTGAGAAACTGATGCTGTCTCTGGTCTTATGCGATACCTTTCACTTCTCAAATTTATGGAAGGCATGGGAATGCCAGATATGGTTACAATTACATATAGGAATCAGTTACAGTTATACAGGATCCGGATCCAAATTTCACGAAATGGTAGGCACATTTAGCGATTTCTCCCCAAGTTTGTGGTAAAAATGTTATCAAAATCATCACCAGCTTGGCAAGCTCAAGCATATATATATATATAATATATACCTCAATGTTAATAGACTAATCACTGTAGAGGCTCTTCTATTGTATTTTCTGGCAGATTTCTTCACTTTCAAGCATTCATATTGCATTATACTAAATACTACAGTTTTTCACTGAATTATTTACATATATAAAAATTCTTATAATATATTTGATCAATTTTAATAGGAAAAATTTTTGTATAACATTGTCTAGTATATAATTTGTATAATATTAAAATTTGTTTTTCTATAATTTTTATTTTTATTATAGAGAATGGATAACTTCCAGAGTTATTCTTAAGTCAGATGGTAAATTGGAAACTGAATCACAAGTAAATAATGAAACGCTTAAAAAAATCTACATTTTAAGTCCAGACTGGTTCATTGTGACTCCCAGACACAGCTTTAATAAAGGCATACCACCTTTACCTGAAAACAAGCATCCTGAACAGTTATTTGCTTTAACTCAACCTCCAGATACAACCATTTGGTTTTTAGGAAACTCCAAATATGAAAGGTAAACTTTGTATTTTTAGTTACTGCACTAGAGTTGATATTTATGCAATATAAATCATTTTTAAAAAATGTATGAGATTTATTATAAAAAACTTTTGCACACAAATTACAATGCACCTAACAATAGTACTTGCATAGAATTCATAGTGATATTAATAAAAAGTGTAAATTTTTCCATTATACACCTGCCGTGCTTTTTGGTCTCTGTGAAAGAGAAGCCACAAACATGTTGAGGTCCAGCAATTGTAGCTAGAAATAAATATGTGTTCATCTATAACTATTCTTAAAACTAGAAATTTTTCTACAATTAAAAGTCCAGATATAGTTTCTCTTTTACAGGCACCAATGCAGGCACAGATGCATAATGAAAAAGTACCAAAACTTGTAAAGAGCAAGTTAATATGTTGGCCAAACTTATGAAAGCTGTTACAGATTTCTTCCCCCCCCCTTTTTTCGGAAAATTTCTATATTTTAGATCATCAGTTTAAATCTAGGAAAGTGACATTTAACTCATTCACGACGGGCACCTGTTACCGAAGCATTCTCTTGGGACGGCTCATTACTCGGATACGTCGTCTTGTGAGGGACGGGCAATTCGCGCTGCTAAGCCTAACTTATGCAATATAAATCATTTTTAAAATTTTGGATAAATTAAATTTGTCATCCAATTGTTCGAATTTTTGGTACATTATGAGAAGAACATTCAGGTAG